CCTGCTCTCTGAAGACCACAGCATATACTAGACCTCTTGATGCTCCCAAAAGTTTGGGAGCTCGCGTCTAACTTGTTTTTACTAGGCCCATCGGGGCTCACAATTGGGCATACCCTTGCTGCAAAAGCATGGGAGAGGGCAGCCCCCAGGGTACGTGCTTGGATATCAACATTATCCAGGCTCTTGAGCAGCTCAGTGCAAGGGATGGAGACCAGCCTGGGCTGAGCAAGGTGCAGGATACGTGACAGTAGTGACAGCCCTGTCCTGGGCTCCTAGAGGAGGGTGAAACCCTGAGGAAGCGATCCCCATGGGCATCACTGTGGGGCCGGGGATAACACCAGACTTCTTTCTGTGTCTTTCTGTCCTACCTGTTGGCCGGGTACCAGATCTGGCACTCCACTGGGTTGGCCCAGACTCTTGCTGCACCTCCCCTTGCTAGACACAGCTCTTGAACAGGAATTAAAGGAGACACATCTTCCCAGAGCTGTACCCTAGGGTGGCATGTCCCAGGGAACTCAAACCTGGGAAAGGAAGCAGGGATGCTTTGGAAGGAGATGGGAGGTATTCAGGGTTGGCATACCCGCACTCTGGCCTGTCTCTGGGCCTCCGCTTCCACAGCCAGGGACTGCTGGACTTCAGCAGGCAGCTGCACGTTGTTGCTGTGATAGTAAGGGACAGGGATTAGCTGGGTTCTAGGCTCTGGCCTAGTACTAGATTGTCAATCTGAGGCTTGGAATGGGCTCATCAGTCAGTCTCTGCAGAGCTTTTTCACTCATGTTCTTTGCTCCCTGGGTGTCCTCCTTTGTGTGTCTGTCTCACTTTAGTCTCCTCCCTCCCTTCCCATCCTTCTTTTCCAGCCTGGTTTTCTAATGACCAGGCTTGCGTGATCACTAGGCCGCAGACAGACCTCCTTCTCCTTGTGCCTCTGAGGCCTAAGTCTAAGCTAACTCTTTGTGAGACATCAGAGACTCCACTGGGAGTGTGGTCTCAAGACAGGCGTGGGAGGTTCCTTCTGCTCAGATTTACTCATTCACCACTTGACTCTCTCTTCCATGGCCCTTTATGTGATGAGCGTGTCCCACTTTTCTGCACGGGCTCCTGAGTGACGAGCCCATCCCAAGCAGTGCTTTGATCTAGAGTGGGACACAGAGGGTTCAGTGCCTGCTGTGACTCTTGG